TTGAACCAGTTTTTGTATCATGACAAAAATGTTATTTAAAATTAGTCTTTTCATTTTAGATTTTGCATATCATTTGAGTCAAGTAACTTTTATGCTAATGTGGTAAGTGCTGAAAATGTGCATTAAAATGTAACATCCAATAAAAAAATGTAATACAATATTTACAAATTTGAAACATTTATAAACACTTCTGCAGTGTAAACTGCTGCTCAGAATCGTCAATGAAATTAAAATAAATATTTAAAAAAATAATATTTTTAACAGGAAGATATTTTTGGCATCAGATAAAAAAAAACAATAAAATAAATAAAACAAAATGTGCGCACGTACGCACGCACGCACGCACACACGCACACACACACACGCGCGCACACACACACACTTATTTAAACATTTATATTCTTTGTTCTTCATCAGATAAGGACATTAACAATTAAAAAATGATCGTTAAAGATGTAAAAAATGACCAAGGCAGGCCTTGTTATTAACATGACAGATTAATCAGGCAGTAAATCAGATTTTTCAGCTCTTGCTTTATCGGCTGGCTGTGAATCGCAGAGGTCAGCGGCCTATAGAAAGGGTCAAGGTCATTATGATGATTTATAAAAGACAAACTATGCAGAAGGTCCAGGGCCGAGTAATTATGTGCGCTAGTTTTTCTTTATTCAGAACGGTGAGGTTACGCACTTCCCTCACGATGCCACATTAGTCAGTGAAGTCAGAGACGCTCTGAATGGGTCAATTTATTCTTATTACGTGCTGTTTGTTCTAGAACTGCTTGAGTGCATGCGCTATTCATATTCAAAGAGCTTGAAGTGCAGATTCAGACGCGTGCCTCATTTCACACACAGCCTCAAAAACAGAAACAAAAAGATGAAAAGGACTGCTCTAGGAAGGATTCGTTAAAATGGAAAGCAAACAAATGAGAGTCTTTCGGTTTACACTGCATCCAAATCATGTGAATATCACAAACCTGTCAAGAACACAGATCAAATTTCAGGGAATCAGTGTCATTTTAGTATTATTTTACTATTATATTATATTTACTATTACTATTATAGTATTTATTAAGATTTTCTGTTTTCATTTTTATTTTAGTAAATATTCTTGTAATTTTTATAGTTTCTGCTTTTTTAAATCTACTGAAGTTTTAATAATTTCAGCACTTCAACTTGCTTTATTTCAGTTAGTTGGCAATGCGATATTTCAATTGATTAATTTTTTTATCCAATTTTAGATTTTTATTTCATTTTTTAAATTAAAGTTTTAAATCAGAGGGGGGCAAATACAATTTTGATATTTTCTTTTTGTGATGAAAAATGAAGCATTATGATTTTTCCACTTACATTACATTATTTTAAAAATGATTGCATCACAGTAATGGAAATAATGAGAATTACAAAAATCAAAAGTAAAAATGCACTAAATTGTCTTGAAAATAACAAAGCAATGCACATCATCTTAATGCTGTTAGATTATAGACGTCATCTCCTCCTTTCCGTTTTGATTTTGGGGTGAAATGCAAGCCAGATATGTTGCATGTTCTTCTTTATTTTACTTTCAACATTTCTTTTTCTGCAGCCGCAAAAGCAAACATTTTGTCTTTGCTTTCTACTTCTGGTTGTGATTGGATGCCTGATGCAGTAAGTTTACTTTCAGTGACTGATACTGGAAACTTGTCCTGGCTAAGAGGAAAGTCTTTATTTGTGAATGGATTTGTGTGGACAGATACTCACCGTCTCTGACAGAATGACCGCCTCGCTGGGCTGCAGCGGGATCTCAGCCGTCTTCAGCTCCTTATCAAACAGCTCCTGGTGTTTACTGTTCCTCTTCTCTTTCTTCTTCTCCTTCCTGTCTTTCTCAGGTTCGTCTCGATCCAGCTTATCCTGAGACTTACAGTGCAGCTTCTTTGGTAAGAGAGGCTCCAAGGCAAATCTATTAGATGAGAGAGAAGAGGAATCAAATGAGGAGAGCAGGACTGTGTTTTATTGGATAAGACTTCTGGGCTGTTTAATATCACAGAGAAGCCTCTTATGAAGTCTTGAGCAAATATTAGCACTCATTTGACATTTTGCTCCAACTGTAAACTCAAAAGCACGTTTCTGGTGTTCAGTCTCAAGTGTCATGGCAACCAACCGTATTAGCTCATTGAAAATGACACATATGCTTATAACATGTTATCTCAGAGATCAGGGCTCAGACCTGGGACTTTTTTTCATTTTCTGCCATCTTGGTCCGCTGAGCTGCTCATAATTATACTTGAGCTACATTTTTACAGGCCTCACAAAAAAAATAAAAAATAATTAAAGGTGAAAATAAAAATAAATATGATTAAAATAATAATCTTTGAATTTTTAAGAAAGAAATTAAAGTTAAGAAAAAAACTTTACATATTAAATATATACAAGTTTTTCATTTGCAATAGGATTATAAAATGACAAAATAAAAAAATAGATATATAAAGTTTAAATTCTTTGCATTTTTAATATAACGTCTGAAATATATTTGATATATTTTTTATTTAACATTTAAATTTTCTGTTTTCATTAAACATTTTCTGAGGAAAAAAGTATTTAATTTGAAAAGTCATATTAAAATAAGGACATAAAAACATACATTTAAAAAAATGTAATTATTAAAATGCAAACGAGGGTCAGAAAAATGTATTTCAATATGTTTTTTGTAAAACATTCAGATATTTTCCCCCATTAAACGTGTTTAAAAGTTCTTAATTTGTAATAATAGCTGGAATATAATATATAACAATATCCAGCTGTAATATAACCCTATGAGAGCTATAAACTAAGCTGTTAAAAAATAACAGTTTATGATTTAACCCAGTCTAACTGATGCATCAAAATACATAAATCAATTACATATTTTTGAGAAAACATTATGCCAGCAAGCTAAAGATACCCAAATAACTTTTAAATCAACAAAATCTGCAATAACGGTCTTTAATAAATCATAGGAAATCAAATGTTCAAGAGTGCAAAGCACGAAAGCACATGATTGATGAACGTAAGATGCAGCGGCACTGACTCGAAACGCTCTCACGCCGGCTCTATCCTTATCTGCCGTTTCATAAAGTAAATGAAAACCACAGTAAGCGTATTTGTTAGAACAAGCGTACGTGAACCCAGACAGAAAAACTGTGTCATCACTATTGGATTTCAGGTCCAAAGCTCAGAACAAACTAGTTTCTTAAAAACGCAGCGATGCCGGACAGAAATCGTACATCATCCATGCAAACGCGCTCCTGTAAAAGCAAGAATCTCTGCATTAAAGTGCGTTTCATATCTGCTGACCTGGCCGATAATGAGACTCGCAGGCGGTTTTGTACAGCGGGAAGCAGCGAAAAAGCCCAGCAGAATCTCTGGCTCTCATAATCAGAATGTGGAGCTCAAGCGAATCAAAGCGCTTTAATGAGATGGATTAACTAATCAAATGAAAGCTCTTGTGAAGCGCTGCCCTTCACAATTAAACAGCAGCGGAGGGTATCGCTGATAGAATCACTTTCTTCAAACACGCACTGATTAATGCTTCTGGCTGGCATCTGTGTGTCCGCCGCGCTACACTGCCACCAACCTGACAGGGTAAAGAGACCGAGTAAAGCGCAGTTCAAGTGAATTCATGTTTATTTTACACATATAAACCCATCTGACTGCATCAGCTGATTCTGTCTGAACTGAAGGAACTTCTCAAAGTGCAGTAAGATGATCTTCTTGGAGAATCAGCAGGTGATTCGGTGCATTACGGCTGTAAGTGTGTGAATGGGAACAGACCGCCTACAGAGAGACGAGATGGAAATGACAAAGAGCTGCATTACAGAAATCAGAAAAGTCACTCTAACCGAGGAAATGTTCTGTACTAGTCCTCCAACGGCTATAAGAAGAAAATAAATCACGGTCAAGAATCCAGCCTGTTCAACAGAGGTCTGGATCAGTGCTCACTAATACAGCTTTTCAATGGCTGATGCTGATATCAAGAGCGATTTATATTCCATCATTATTTGTACTTATTAGCTAAATTAACAATTAAACTATTTACATCTTATTTGAGATATATAAATATGAATATAAAGTTAAAATAAAATTTGTTGCATTTGTAATATATTTCAAAAATATACTTTATATATTTTTTGATTAAACATTTACATTTAGTTCTCCTATTAAACAAGTAAAAATATAAAAATATTTTCATTTGCAATAGTAAAATAAAAACAAAATTAATACACACACACACATTTATATATATATATATATATATATATATATAGAAAGAAAATTAAAATTCTTTGAGCTTTTAACATGTCATAAAATATATTTCATTTATTTTTCATTAAACATTATTTAATATAAATATTAAATACTATGTGTGTATGCTACTGTTTAACAGTCTGGGATCAGTGAGATTTTTTATATTTTTTGAAAGAAGTCTCTTATTGCTTAACAAGGCAAAATACAGTAAAATAGTAATTTTGTGAAATATTATTACATTTTAAAATAAGTGTTTTCTATTTGAATCTCTGTTGAAATGTAATTTATTCCTGAGATGAAAAGCTGAATATTCAGCATCATTCCTCCAGTCTTCAGTGTCACATGATCTTCAGAAATCATTCTAATATGATGACTTGCTGCTCAAGAAACAGTTCTGATTATTATCAATGTTATAAACACTTGTGCTGCTTAATATTTTTGTAGAAATGGTGACTTTTTTTCAGGAATCTTTGATGAATATAAAATAAAAAACAGCATTTATTTGCAATAGAAATCTTTTGTAATATTATAAATGTCTGTACTGTCAGTTTTGATCAATTTAATGCATCCTTGCTAAATAAAAGCATTTATTTATTTCCAAAAATTATGTATAAACAGTATAAATAAAAAAAAGAAAGAAAGAAAGAAAGAAAGGTGAAATATCTGCAGATATATTGCTCTAGCACTAGTCTGGATGGTGTGGGTGGGTGTGTGTGTGTGTGTGTGTGTGTGTGTGTTTACCCGTCTGATCCCGGTCTGGAGGGAGAGTTTTCTGATGGTATGGAGGTCACAGATGCGACAGACAGCGGCCTCTGAGATGACGGCATGGTGAAGGATCGAACCATTGAACGTGGTCGACTGCCCCGCCGCTCGTCCGACGTGGGAGGCTGAAACACACACGAACACATCATGACATTCAGTTCTTTAAAAGAGGCCATATTCAACATTTTCTTGCACCAAAAATAGTCATAATTAAGTTTTGACGAGCATTTTCCCCTCTCTCTGACACTGTGTTTTGATTGCCTAATCTCTGTCCACGTGAAATGAGTAACAATATATGTTAATTTACTCATTTTCAGAAGCCCTTAAAGAGTTCAGACCATTCACTGACTAGACAGACAGCAATATAATAGTAGATCCCTGCTGCAAAGGCCAAACTCATAGTGTGAGTATGTTTTTGCTTAGTCCCATTGCTTGTTTTCATGTGACCCTCTTTGTGTGTGTGAATCTCATATACAGTGGGGAAAAAAAGTATTTAGTCAGCCACCAATTGTGCAAGTTCTCCCACTTAAAAAGATGAGAGAGGCCTGTAATTTTCATCATAGGTATACCTCAACTATGAGAGACAAAATGAGAAAAAAAATCCAGAAAATCACATTGTAGGATTTTTAAAGAATTTATTTGCAAATTATGGTGGAAAATAAGTATTTGGTCAATAACAAAATTTCATCTCAATACTTTGTTATATACCCTTTGTTGGCAATGACAGAGGTCAAACGTTTTCTGTAAGTCTTCACAAGGTTTTCACACACTGTTGCTGGTATTTTGGCCCATTCCTCCATGCAGATCTCCTCTAGAGCAGTAATGTTTTGGGGCTGTCGCTGGGCAACACGGATTTTCAACTCCCTCCAAAGATTTTCTATGGGGTTGAGATCTGGAGACTGGCTAGGCCACTCCAGGACCTTGAAATGCTTCTTACGAAGCCACTCCTTCGTTGCCCGGGTGGTGTGTTTGGGATCATTGTCATGCTGAAAGACCCAGCCACGTTTCATCTTCAGTGCCCTTGCTGATGGAAGGAGGTTTTCACTCAAAATCTCATGATACATGGCCCCATTCATTCTTTCGTTTATACGGATCAGTCGTCCTGGTCCCTTTGCAGAAAAACAGCCCCAAAGCATGATGTTTCCACCCCCATGCTTCACAGTAGGTATGGTGTTCTTTGGATGCAACTCAGCATTCTTTCTCCTCAAGTTGAGTTTTTACCAAAAAGTTCTATTTTGGTTTCTTCTGACCATATGACATTCTCCCAATCCTTTTCTGGATCATCCAAATGCTCTCTAGCAAACTTCAGATGGGCCTGGACATGTACTGGCTTAAGCAGGGGGACACGTCTGTCACTGCAGGATTTGAGTCCCTGGCGGCGCAGTGTGTTACTGATGGTAGCCTTTGTTACTTTGGTCCCAGCTCTCTGCAGGTCATTCACTAGGTCCCCCCGTGTGGTTCTGGGATTTTTGCTCACAGTTCTTGTGATCATTTTCACCTCACGGGGTGAGATCTTGCGTGGAGCCCCAGATTGAGGGAGATTATCAGTGGTCTTGTATGTCTTCCATTTTCTAATCATTGCTCCCACAGTTGATTTCTTCACACCAAGCTGCTTACCTATTGCAGATTCAGTCTTCCCAGCCTGGTGCAGGTCTACAATTTTGTTTCTGGTGTCCTTTGACAGCTCTTTGGTCTTGGCCATGGTGGAGTTTGGAGTGTGACTGTTTGAGGTTGTGGACAGGTGTCTTTTATACTGATAACGAGTTCAAACAGATGCCATTAATACAGGTAACGAATGAAGGACAGAGGAGCCTCTTAAAGAAGTTGTTACAGGTCTGTGAGAGCCAGAAATCTTGCTTGTTTGTAGGTGACCAAATACTTATTTTATCGAGGAATTTACCAATTAATTCTTTAAAAATCCTACAATGTGATTTTCTGGATTTTTTTTTCTCATTTTGTCTCTCATAGTTGAGGTATACCTATGATGAAAATTACAGGCCTCTCTCATCTTTTTAAGTGGGAGAATTTGCACAATTGGTGGCTGACTAAATACTTTTTTGCCCCACTGTATGTGTGAATATATGAATCACTCATACCTTCCTTATCCTCCTCCTCTCGGTCTCACAGCCCTGAGATGTCCTTGAAACAGATATGCAGCACAAATCACGTTCTCAGTCTTTCACACACTTCGCTGCTAATTCTAGCACCTTTGCAGAGCACGGCAATCAATATCTGCCAGCTACAGATCTCTCTCACACGTTTGCTCTCTTTCTCTACCTGTCTGCCGCACTCTTTTGTCCCCATCTCTCATTCCCTCCCAAGGACTCCCAACATTCTCCTGTCAGGGATCTCAGCATGTCTGTTCGGACCGGAGGAGAGGCGCGATTCTGTACAGTGTGTTTGGGAATGTCTTTCCCACGGTTACAAAGACTCACATTGACCCTGTGCATCTCAAAATACAGCTGAGGAAACTCTACTTTTTTTTCCCACTTAAGACAATGTAATGCCAGACTGAATACTTATTTTACCGAGGAATTTACCAATTAATTCTTTAAAAATCCTACAATGTGATTTTCTGGATTTTTTTTTTCTCATTTTGTCTCTCATAGTTGAGGTATACCTATGATGAAAATTACAGGCCTCTCTCATCTTTTTAAGTGGGAGAACTTGCACAATTGGTGGCTGACTAAATACTTTTTTGCCCCACTGTAAGTTAAGGTTTTTGGCACCAAATGCTGTAAAAATGCATATGTATATATACATATAAAGTATATTTAAATATATGTTAAAATATGCTCTGCAAAAAGCAAGACAAATCATCATTGAAAACAATATTTGATATATCAATTATCAATACCATTAATACAATTAAAAATCTATTTGTTTGTGCTACACAAGATTTTCCACAGCAACCAGATGTGAATAAGGAAAAAGATGAGATGTTTTAAATTGTACAGTTGCAAGAGCATTTCAAACTAAAGGTTTATGAAAATGAGACTCATCAATCATCTATTAAAACTATGCTGTATGAAGTAACTTCATAAGTAATCTTTCTCATTTCATACAAGGTCATCCTAAATAATAATAAAAGGGTGTTTTTGTTAAGTAAATGAAATGTAATGTAATGCATAAAAAATGCAGTGCTCTTTTGTCAGCGCTGTTAGACCTAATTAAAAGGTAACGAGTCCCAATAACAAGCACTGATGAACTGCATGATTAAGCTGGCGGCAGGTGTTACAAAAAATTACCAGGCTTATACAGAAGACAATTTTGATGAGAAATCTATCACAGTTTGATTAACAACATAATACCACTGATTAAAAGAGGAGGCGGGGCATAGAGGACCTACAATAATGTACTGAATTTGAAAAATAATGTGTTTTTTGAACATTAAAGCATGTCAACATATTCTGTTACACCAAATACACAAAAAAAAGGATCTTTAAAAAAGCATCATATGACCCCTTTAATAATAATAATAATAAATTATATAATGAAATAAAAAGTCGCAATTATCTTTCTTTTTTTATTCCAAAAAAATTCTCTCACCAAAATAGTAATTTTTTTCATATTATTAAAAATAATTAACGACTTAATTTTGAACAGAAAGTTGCTAAAGATTCTAAAAAAGTGCTTGTTTTTGCATGCATATTATCATGCTGGACAAAAAAAAAGTATTCAGCCTGATAATACTATGAGTGACTGTTAAGATTTTTATAGTTGACTTTGAAAAATTAGCAAGAATCTTCCAGTTCTATTAAAGCAAGTGAGAGCATTTAAAACTGCAATTGTACAATGCCCGTAATAATCGAAATGCTGCCATGACTTTATTCAGTTCAAAATTTCTGTAGTGCTTTTCACAGTATATATTCTAAAGCAGCTTATCTTTATAAAGCAGCATATTTAAATAATAATGCATTATATTCCCCAACGAGTAAGTCAAAACAAGGTCCCAAGATAGTGAGGAAGAAACCAAGAGAGGAAACCAAGATCCAACAAAGACAAATGCAGACAAACATGCAACACATAAATCAGAAAGAGAATGTGTAAATAGTTCAAAGTGATATGTTTGTATTGTGAGGTAAGAGTCCATCCTGAGGCAATGTGATACATGCAAGCGAGCTGTGATGAACACTGTTGGGACTCACTAGTGTTCTGATGCCGTACTGCTTCTCCACCTTCTCTTTGAGCTGTTTGAAACACGCCTCCAAACGCTCGTGAAACGGACGAAGAGCCTCCGTCACCTTCTGGCCATGGATGCGGACTCCTTCAGCCAGGTTCGGGATCTGAATGAGAAGCACACAAACATAAGCAAAGGAATGAAATCACAATGCTACATAAAAATTAAGAAAAAATCCCTAAGGATTCACCCCAAAAATCAACCTGACATGAAAATTTGAGAAAAAAAGATACATTCACCAAACGGCATCAAATCAACCAACGTGTAACGTGTAATTAATGACTTTTACTATATCTTATTGCAAGCATTTATCTAAGCCCAATACCAAAATTTACCTAAATAAAAGAATAACTTTAAAATTATTTTTACATGTATTTTTTTTCTTCAACTTCTATTGCTGTATTAATAAATATACACATTCTTTGTTACAAAACAATATATCAAAATAAAAGTATTTTATGACTTTATTCCCTACAAATGCATTTTTAAATGTAGTCATGAAGTTAAAGACTATACAGTAAATTAAAATAAAATATATAAAAAATAAAACATTACATCTAAAACAACAATTAACCACAGTATTATGTACTCATTATGCATTATTTGTTAACTAATGCTGTATTAACATAAATGCAATGTAACTAATTAAATAAAACATTAAATAAAAATCATTAACATTCACCCCCAAAAAAATCCAACCTGAAATTCAATCTTAAACGTGTAAATAATAACTTTTACTATGGTCTTTGTAATTACAATGATTTTTCTAAATCCAACACTAATAATGTACTTAAAAGTATTTCATGTAATAACTTTAAATTGATTTTCAAGCTTTTTTCTCTAACTTCTATAGCAGTTTTGAAAAAAAAAAATTTTTTGGTTAAAAAAAAAAAAACAATATAGAAAAATAAAATCGTGTAGTGTATTGTGTGATTATTGTCTAAAAATGCATTTTTATATTTTACCATATAGTTTAAGTCTATACAGTAAAATTAAATATAAAATAAAACAAATTATTAAATATTTTATTTATACATACAAATAACAAATACATGCACATACAAATAATTTGTTCTGGTGACAGAACCATCCAGCACACTGAGACAATAACAACGACACACAGATAATATGAAAGAAAGAAAGAAAGAAAGAAAGAAAGAAAGAGAGAGAGAGAGAGAGAGAGAGAGAGAGAAAGAGAGAAATAAAGAAAGAGAGAAAGAAAGAAAGAAAAAGAAAGAAAGAAAAAGAGAAAGAAAGAAAGATTTCTTGCGGCTGAAAGTAACTGTTCTTTTGTCTGGCAGTCCTGGTTCAGTGTTCAGTGCTCTGTAGCTCCGGCCAGATGGGAAGAGTTCAAAAAGGAGATGGCTTGGATGTGAGAGATCCAGAGTGATTTTCTGAGCCCTTTTCCTCACTCTGGATATAAACAGTTTTTGAAGGGTGGGCAGGGGGGCACCAATAATCCTCTCAGCAGTCCGAACCGTCCTCTGTAGTCTTCTAATGTCTGATTTTGTAGCTGAGCCAAACCAGAACGGTGTGAGCAGCTCCTTTGGCAGGTTGAACTTCCTCAGCTGGCGAAGGTAGTACAATCTCTGTTGGGCCTTGTTAACGATGGAGTCGATGTGATTGTCCCACTTCAGGTCCTGAGAGCTGATGGTGCCCAGGAACCTGAATAACTCTACTGAAGCCACAGTGCTGTTCATGATGGTGAGTGGGGGGGGTTCTCCTGAAGTCCACGATCATCTCCACTGTTTTGAGCGTGTTTAGCTCCAGGTTGTTAAGACTGCACCAGCCAGCCAGCTGCTAAACCTTGCTTGTATATGCAGACTTGTCTCCGTCCCAGATGAGGCCGATGACTGTAGTGTCGTCTGCAAAATTCAGGAGTTTGATAGAGGGGTCAGTAGAGGTGCAGTCATTGGTGTAGAGGGAGAAGAGCAGTGGGGAGAGCACACATCCCTGAGGGGCGCCAGTGCTGATAGAGCAGCTGTTTGACATTAATTTCCCCTGTCTCATTAGCTGTTGCCTGTTTGTCAGAAAGCTGGTGATCCACTGACAAATAGAGGTAGGAACAGAGAGCTGGGTTCGTTTGGTCTGGAGGAGTGCTGGGATGATTGTATTGAAAGCCGAACTGAAGTCCACAAACAGGATCCTCATGTAAGTCCCTGCAATTTGTCTAGATGTTGTAGGATATAATGCAGTCCCATGTTGACTGCATCATCCACAGACCTATTTGCTCTGTTAGCAAACAGCAGGGGGTCCAGTAAGGGTCCTGTGATGTCCTTCAGATAAGCCAACACCAGTCTCTCAAACAACTTCATGACCACAGATGTTAGTGCAACAGGTCTGTAATCATTGGCCATGTACACACTGCAAGTTTCAGGAGTGACAAACCACATTTAAATGCGGGAGTGAGTCCTGTAAATCATTGCTCCATGCATGAAACACTTGACGCCTGACAATACATGCACTTTGACGTGCTTCTCGTGACATCATAATTAACAACTAGTTGTTCAGTTCCGTACACTGCACAGAATTTCTGTAAATGTGGTTGTCACTACCTGTATTTTTCGGGAGTTAATGCGGTTGTGGAATGCGGTTGTCACTCCCGAATTTTAGTGAATTATGGGTGTACAGAATGTGATTAAGGAGTAAAAGGTAAACTGACAACCGAATTTAGCTGCAGTGTGGATGTAACTATTAAGTCCTGTGATTTGGGGTTTCTTTGGGATGGGGATGATGGTGGAGCGTTTGAAGCAGGCAGGAACTTCACACAACACCAGTAATCTGCTGAAGATCTGTGAAAAGATGGAGACCAGCTAGTCAGCACATGTTTTCAGACAAACACAATCTGGACCTGGTGTTTTCTTTCTCTTCTGTTTCCTGAAGACCTGACGCAAATCATCTTCACTGATCTGAAGTGCAGGAGGGGGGTGAGGGGGGTTGCTGGAGCTGTTGATGGCTGTGTAAAGAGATGGTCAGAGCAGGTGTGGGGTGTGAGACCAGGAGTTTCACACCTGCAATAAAACTCATTCAAGTCTTCAGCAAGTTGTTGATTTGCCTCAGTGCTAGGGGATGGTGTCTTGTAGTTTGTGATGTATTTCATGCCTTTCCACACTGAAGCAGGGTCGTTTGCTGCAGCTGTTTAGAGTAGCTCTTCTTAGCCACTCTGATCTCATTTGTCAGTGTGCTCCTCGCCTGATTGTACAAGATTCTGTCCCCACTCCTGTAGGCATCCTCTTTGGCCTGACAAAGCTGTCTGAGTTTTGCTGTGAACCATGGCTTATCATTGTTGTATGTTAAATAAGTCCTGGTAGGAATGCATATTGGTCGTCACTGTCAGGAAAGCTGTCTGAGCCGTAATCTGACAGAAAAGTGATCGAGATGGCGCCGATGATGATGGCGGCCTCCGTGGCGTGCTCTGCAGTTATTTTTGTGTTTTTGTTAGTTTGTCCTGTCTTTAGTTATACCCACACTGGAAAAGGAGATCAGAGTGGCAAAGAGGAATTATTCTGAAAAACTAAGTACTCAGTTCACTTCCAGCGACTCGGCATCAGTGTGGAAAAGTCTGAAAGAGATCACCAACTACAAGACACCATCCCCCAGCACTGTGGAGAATCAACAACTGGCAGACGATCTGAATGAGTTCTACTGCAGGTTTAAAAAAAAAAAACCACACCCCCCATTCGCGCCCCCTGCAACCCCCCTCTCCCCCACACCTGCACCGCAAATCAGTGAAGACGAGGTGCGCCAGGTCTTCCGGAAGCAGAAAAGGAAAAAAGCACCAGGCCCAGATTGTGTTACACCAGCCTGTCTGAAATCCTGTGCTGACCAGTTCACATAGATCTTCAACAGATCACTGGAGCTGTGCAAAGTCCCTTCATGCTGCAAACGCTCCACCATCATCCCCATCCCAAAGAAATCCAAAATTACAGGACTAAATGACTGCAGGCCTGTGGCTCTAACGTCTGTCGTCATGGAGTCATTTGAAAAACTGGTACTGGCCCACCTGAAGGACATTACTGGACCCTTGCTGGATCCTCTTCAGTTTGCCTACAGAGCAAACAGGTCTGTGGATGATGCAGTCAATATGGGAATGCATTATGTTCTGCAACATCTAGACAGACCAGGGACTTATGTGAAGATCCTGTTCGTGGACTTCAGCTCGGCCTTTAACACTATCATCCCAAACCTCCTCCTGCCCAAACTAACTCAGCTCTCTGTGCCCACCTCCGTCTGTCAGTGGATCAACAGCTTCCTGACAGACAG